GACGAAGCACAATTGACGCCAACAGTCTGGTTACGACCTTGGTCAAGCTGATCCCCCTGTGGTTACCACACTCACTACGCGCCCCTTTTTTGAAAGCGGGCACTATAACCGATTCTCCCCAGTTGTCTGGGACAGACTCCGTTTCCCAAATGCAAGCAAACAGATCGGACAGGCGCTGACTGAGGACTTCACCCCCGTCTTTGAACAGTGCTGGTGAAAGGTCATCCGGACCAGGAGCTCGGTGGCGCCTGAGAGAACAAATGTATTCATAAACCTCCGAGGCCGTAGGTGGTTCCACGTTCACCGTCCAGGATTCTACTTCACCTGTGGGCTGTAGATGAGTGTCGGCTGGTGGCCACGACAGTTGCTGTTTGAAGTATTCGGCCCACCGGTCGGGACGTTCTTTTTTGTTCGAGATGGTCGTTCCATTCTGACGTTTCATTGTTTCACTCACGGGTGGTTTCCGGGGTCTGGTCGCACGGATCAACTGGAATAATTTCCGGTCATTACCGGCTTTCCGGGCCTCTTCCATTGCTTTGGCTTTCTGTGTCCACCATACTTCACGATCAGATCGCAAGCTCACTTTCGCTTGACGTCTGATGGCTCTTATGTTCGGAAGCGGCTGGGATATTTCTTCGAGATTGAAGTAGTGTCACCGTTCGGTCTGATATCCAATGCTTGGGTGCATCGGGTTGGATCGTCCCACAGGCAAAATTCCCAGCACTATGCAAAGAGGTGGCAATCTCGTCCCAGTATGAGTTCACATCTGATGGTGGAGCGTTTGGAAGGGACTCTAGAAGACGATTCCTGTGAGTTCGTCTGACATCCGGGTCTGCCAGTCTTTCAGTTGCCATGCGATTTGTCCGCTCCTTACGCGGCTCCGAGAAATGGGCAAAGCGACCCCGGAAAAGCGCAGTGACTATGGCTGAATACGTGGCGAGTATTGTCGGGAGATTTTTTAAACAAGTTTCATCCTGTTCGTCAAAACAACCTCTGCATGTATGTCCAGTAAACAAACGTTAGACAATTCACAGGGGAAGACAGGTGACGCTCGCAAGCTACTTCGGCGTACCTGAAACTGCAAGGGCTTGTACGAACGTACGTAATACAATATTTATAAGGTTGCTAAAAACTCATCGTCATCCCAAGACTGGTTTCGTCTTTCTTGTGGCCCATTAGATAGGCCTAGTTCCCGAGTTTCCGAGTTTCCGAGTTTCCTATTGCTGAATAAATTGCACGAGGTTCGCGAACTATTCTCATTTGTAAACTAATTTGGCTGTGCGGGACTCACCTGGAACCCAGCTGAATCTTTCGCTTATGATGCTCCTAATCAACTGCTGCGCCAGGTCACCTCATATTTCAGTTGGGACGATATTCGAGGTATCGCGATACATGTATACACTTCTCTCGCGAGCTCGTTCAACCTAATTCAAGATGAATGAGATGATATAAACAGTGTTTTTTAACCGCCACAGTCAGCTGTAGTGATACTGTTGGGGAAGCGAAACTGGTTTGCTACGAGGGTTTAAGTCCTGACAATCTAAGCTGGAAAAGCGGAATAAAAGCACGTTTCAAGTGTGAGGACGAATCAACCCACCGAAATAATTATTTAAATTCACCGCTTAGAATGGAACGAACGAAGATCGTCATGGAGCTCACCTTGTCTATCCTATACTGATATGTTTTTGGTTGGCGTAACTGAACCTGTAGTATACGGTGTCTGTCATTTTGATTGATTCATAGTAAGTATTGGTGATGTGCAACCTTGCTTACTGGGCTTCGGCTCATGAGCTTTGTTTCTGTTTTCTATCCACAGAAATTGTCGTGAACACCTGCCTTCAGAGAATCACTGTCGTCTGGTGTTTCCATAGCGTGCATCTTACAAACCAGTGAAAGTGTTAAGCGAAATTAGGCAGACAAGATGAATGCATAATATCTTAATGGAATTTTCCCAATTATTTATCACTATGTTTTATTTTTAGGGTCGTAAGAGGTAATCGTTTTGTCTACCAATAATGCTCTGCACGAACAATCTGAAAATCAAGAACAGAAGCTGGCAATGAATATTCTGGTGGACCGGTAGCATGCTCATGATACGCCTAACCTAAAAGTTAAGTTACAAATTTGGCGGTGCATACTTTCTTGAAGTAAATGTCGGTTACCCGGAGCCCTCAGTATTCGCACAATGGAATTGAATTTCCGAAAGCTACGACGTGTCCCTGATGGACTAAAGCGACAGGCAATTGAGTTCAGAGTACGAGTCCAAAATTTTAAGCCCCATCTAGGGGTCTCGGTGCTTCAGCGACGTCAGGAAAGTATTCCTCCAGACTTTTTCCGCCGGAGGTATGATTGCTTCAGTAGACAATGAAATCAGGTGAGCTACGGAAATATGGACGTAGATTGGGACCGTTTTTGGTCCTAGCACATGCGCATCCGAATGCAACATTTTGGTACAAAATGTTCTATTCCACTTGCAAAGCTTTTGCAACTAACAGCATTGCGCGGAATAGGGCTCTCGCTATCCGGCAATGGGTCCAAAATATTGGCGGCTCGCATGCGCTCAGTTGTCGTCGGTCAGGTGGCTGTTGATCTGTCTACCGAGTTTGACAATTATACTGCGAGCATTTCATCACCATTCTTGCAGACACTCTCAGTGCAAGGTAATTTCTAGGCCGGACGAACAGCTACCTGATTAACAGGTCCCGCAATATCTCAGTTGTTAAGGCTTTGAAGACATGACAATACCTCAGCTCTCGCGCGCCTTTCGGGCAGACACCCAGACACCAGAAGAGTTCTGCACCTAAACGGTTCTTGTATTAACACAGGGTGTGAGTGGTATCATCGCAGCTGAAATGCAGCTGAATATCGATATGTTTTTCCTCAGTTCCCAACAGCCTCAGCTTGATTTTTCTGCCTTTGCGGTCTTCTACACACGTTGATTATTTGCGTGATAAAATCCTCTAACAATGCAACTAGATTCGGAAAACGCCTGCTTGACAACTTACATCTGCATAGGCTAAATCGTTGTTACCTATCATCCATATAGCTAGGGCGAAGCTGACTTAAAGATAAGAAAGATTAAAAATGTGTGTTCGTTCTGAGTTTGTACGAAAATTTTGAAAAAGACGTAAAATCTGGTTTGTTTCACCAACCTCCTCTTCTAATGAAGAGGTTTCGTCACTATTCAGAACATCGCTGTTAAATGAGGAGGTAGCCCTGAAAGCTATCATTTGCGATCTTGAAAGTAGGAAAATTGTAGAAGGGAACTGTGAGGGAATTGTAAAAGCTATTTGCAGCGCAGTAAAGGCACATCTCAAAGGCGCAAGTCAACATACGAAAGCATTTACCACAATCACTGTCTTTGTTCTGAGGCTGGAAAATCGCAGGAATCATGAGCGTTAAAACTCAGATGTCTGTACCATGTGATCAAAAGAGCCTGACTATAGCTTCACGCTTATCCAGTCAGACTGTCACTCCATTGTTTGGTTTGATGGCACCTCAAAACAAACCGCTCGTTCCCATTGATTGTGGAATTTGAATTTTCCCCAAAAATCTAACATTCAATCCTGTTTTCCTTTAGGTGTCTTACGTTTTCGTGAAATATGATCCGATATTTTAGCCACTTGAATATTTTACTCTAGTAAGGCTAGTGATACACATCCAAAGGGACGGTTTTGCACAACTTTGTGACTTGTCCAGAGGTGGTCAAACAACAAACTGGGATTAAATGGAGTAAAAATCGGGGCAGCGTTTGAAACAAGCGGTAACGCCTGGGGTTGGATTAATTTGACTGACGAACGGAGTTCCACATAAACCATTTGATTCGGAAAAGGTCCAGGTCCATCATGTATCTGTTACGAGCTGCTTTGATGCTGTCATGACAGACTCAATTTAGCAGCGCCTCGTAGCACAGGTGGATGCCGACGCACCGAAAACCGACCACGTCAGTTTCATTGAGTAATAGGCCGTGATAACCTTAGAGCTCAATTTGCTGACGGCCATGAATGGGCATGTGAAATTACCCCTCCCTAACCACGCTAACCGTCGTTTCCAAAACCACTCGATGCGGGTATTCGCAAAGCACAGCAGTTTAGCTCCAACCTCAGAAATCTGCAGGCCAATCAGCCATGTCTCAAAAACTTCGAAATATGCTCTTGAAAAAGTTTTGCATTCAAAATTACAATTAACTATGTTGGTTTTGTTATGGTGCAACTGCTGGGTTCAGAAAGCACTTTCAGCACCCGTATATTGCAGTCTATACTGTTGAGAATTTATCTTACCATTGTATCCAAGTCACATTCAAGGTGCAAGTACGAGAATACCGGAAGCCTCTCGTGTACACCAGCATTCAATGGAAGCACATCGTGCCGGATGGGAACGAAATTTGGGTGAACAAATGCTGGGAAAAACACCTTGTAGGAGTGTGTGACGTAATTTTTGGGCATTTCTCTTCTAAGACTTACGCCTAAGCACATTGTTCCAAAAGTCGTGTACGTTTGGAAGAAATGACCCAAGATTCCCAAAACTTAAAAACATCCTGTAGCTTTTATTTGGACCCAGTTATACTTCGGTTCATTTGACATTATTTCTCAGATACGGAGTTGCATGTCTGCAGCCATTTGAAGCTCAGCGCCAGGCTCGCTCAGCCTTCTACCTTTGAAAACAATCTCCCTATATACTATCTTAATCTATAGACACATGTCTGATCAGCGCACGCGCAAATTGCTGAATAAAATTCAGCAAAATTAGTGCAGTGCATTATTCACAAAACAACCCAATTTAGACACATTCGTCAGAGTTAGCTCAACACAGGTTGATGCTTCGTAGCACAAGCACAACCAGGCACAAACGCGCACGGAGTACACAAATGTCACTTACAACCTTTTTGCCCATTCGACAACTCTCAAGTTCCGTAACGTCGCGAGCTATATTCAAAATCAAACTGGAGGTTTTCAAACGAAAACAGTTGTCAGTGCCGAATCTCTACTTATCCACAACTAGCAGTGTAGACAAAGTCCTAAATATGTCACGGAAATATTACCTTTTGGTTAAATTTCGTTTATACGCCGTAAAATATGCACCTACTCAGATTCTCGTTGCAAATTGTGGAATAATCTGTGACCTTTTTTGGATCTACGAGGAAATGTGAGTGTATCGACCCACTCCTCACTAGTGCAAATGTTACTCCATCAAGCCGTTCTATCATTGCCGGAGTCGTTGGACTGGCACCTTCCTCCAGATGCTGGAAATGCGTCCATTTATCGCTTGAGTGAGACTCAGCGGGTGGCTTTTTCATCCATGGTGAGGAAGGACCGGAAGACATCACGAGGATAGACACCCAAAGGGACTTGGGGATCTAGCTTTCTTCAAACACGTCTTTCTGACTGCATCGTGAGAAATCGGCCCAAAAGGCATTCGCCGTTTTACGGATGATCCCGCGCACCCTCTTCCCTATCACCCGCATGGACTTCTAAATACTTTATTTGGCCACTGTAAGACCGCCCATTCGCCGTTTACGGATGATCCCGCGCA